ACCCACAGTATGCAACTTATGATTACAATGAAGACAGAATATTAATGTATTTAAAACATTTTACTTTTACAAGCCTTAATTTTGGAACAAATACAAAATTTTATGAGAAAAAAGCAAAAAGGCCAAAATCTCTTGATATTTCAATGTTTTAAACATCAGTCATCTTTGGGCCTGAAACTGTTCTTTTTGCGCTGCTTGGATGTGATATTTGCCGCCTACCTCCTCCTCCTGCCCTACAGCAACAACAGGCCCTGTTCAAAAGTGGAAACCCCACCAAGCTCTGCCTGCATGCGCCTGAGCACTCAGCTCTGGTTTTACAGAGATCTTTTGAAATAAAGCCTGGTGGTTTTATTATTATTGTTAGATATTGTAACAAACTATAGTAAATTTTAGAATTGAATTTAAACTTTTTCTTGCATAGAACAGCAGGATTATATAACACTAAAACAACGTCCTTATTATGTTCACGGTGAAGGTTGTGGGTTCAGTCCCGTGTTGATTTTGCATGCTCTCCCCGTGTCTGGCGGGTTTCCTCCGGGTGTCAGGCCCGTCACAAGGGGGGTGCGAGGCCCAGTGCGAACTCGAAACGCGAGGCCCTGCCCTGACACTTTTTTCCCAGATCTGAGGAAATTTTTTCCTGTTATAATCTTTGACATGAATTCAGCACCACCTCGCGCGGTGCGTGAAGAGATCAGCACGCGCGCAGCCGAGTGTCTTCGCTCCTATGCAGTGTTGGGCGCGGGCACGCACACACGCACACACAAACACTATGGCACTTGGCATTGCGATATTGGTCGCGGTCTTTTTAGCTGACATGGCTCTTTCGTCCTGTGGCAAAATGGCAGAGCAACTCAAAAGTCTTTTTCTTCTAATAGTTAGATTTCGGCAAAATGCGCCAAAATGGCTATGAGGCGGAGTCAATATATATATTTATATTGACTCCGGATGCATGGCAAATAACGTTTTTGCCATGCATCCACACACTCTGACAACATATGCTCCTTCTCCTCCTCCTCCACACTGACCACAACAACATACTCTTCACCTCCTCCTCCACACACTCTGACCATAACAAAGCGTTTTATGCCCAAAATCCACTCCACTCGCAGTGGCCGCTAAAGCTAGACATACAGTGTGTTTGCTAATGCTTTTAAAAATATGTTTTTGATGTGGATATTCGGACTAAACATTGGCAATAACAGCGCTCACACACCTGTCACACCGCTGATCCTCCTCCTCCTCCTCTGCTCACACAAAGGGGTCTGCTCCTCTGCTCACACTTGTCTCACTGCTCCTCCTCCGCGAGTATCCATCTCTCCTACACTGCGATCATTCCCGGTTCTTTCTTTGTATCTCACTCAGACACTGCTAAAGTTATCTGACAGCTCCGTAAAGTTTTTTCGGAGGACCCGCTGCATACATAGCTGCCCGCGCGCCTGCCTGTTTACAAATCGCTTTTGGTGAAAATTTGACTTTACTTGTAAACATTGTCTTTTGATTAAACGAAATCAAAGAAGTCCAGAGAAATTGGTTTAGGGGTCCAAACTTGGAGCGCAGTCTGCCCTTTGGGGACCCTTGAACTATTGTATTTATAAAAATAAAAAAAGGAATGAAGATTGCGAGGCCCCTGTGTGGTGCGAGGCCCTGTGCGACGGCACAGGTCGCACAGCCCTTCCGACGGGCCTGCCGGGTGTTCTGGTTTTCCCCATTACCCAAAAACAACAAAATATAAAATCCTCCAGCTCAAGTCCTCACCAAGAGCATCAACATCTGGAGACGAGTCCCTTATAAGAAATAAACTTCAAAATGAAATTAAAACTATGCCTTTCCCCCTTATGCATTGTTATCATGTTTTGTCTAAAAGTTGATTATCTGCTGAAATAAAAACCACCGTTTTTATGAACTGCACTCTGTCTGTATGGACGAACAAGTATTGTATTTTATCGTATTTCATTGTATGTCATTGTATTTGAATGTGATCTTGACTGTGTCTCATTTCAACCTGTGAAAAACCTTGTAAGTTTATCTGTGATCTTTAAATTGAGTTAATAACATTTGTTTAAGGTAATTTAAGTATTAAAGACAAGTTACAAAGTGTAGACACATGCTTGTACGATAAGCTTTAAATTAACAAAGCAGCAGCTGTAGATTGTAGAAATAGTTTTGTTAGTTGGACAAGTTTAAAAAGTATATAACTTTGAAACTGCAACATAAATGCTACAATCACGTACCCAAATTCTCAGGACACACTTCAATACCGTCAAAAGCAAAAGGCGAAGGTAAGTCAAAGTGACACGCGGCACAATGTTCGCCTGCATTAGTCACGTGGATGTGTTTATAAGTGGAAAATGATTCACAGCTTCAAATTAAAAACAAGCTCCAGCCTTTTTCCTAATTAACACCAGCTTTGTCGCTGTCACTCCGAACATGACAAGTCCTGGAACACGATAACACAGTTTGTGTTTGGAGCCGTACGCTATAGATAGTTCTCTTTGTTCACTCCCAAGATGATCTGAGGCCAACAGGCATGTGAGGGAACCATCCACTCACCTGCCTCTTCAACCTTTAAAAAGTATTTGCCAAACTGAAACTTTATGAGAACATTTGACTAGCACTGGGGTTATGGGTCACGTCCGTCACGTCCCGTTATTATTATAGATCCATGGTCACATCCTATCTCACAGATAATCAGCAACATCAGCATAATCCAACGGAGTACCCCAAGGTTCAGTGTTGGGTCCACTTCTGTTATTGTAAATATGTTCCATAACTTTTGTATTTAGTTTCTTTGCGACGTTGATGCTCTACTTACCCTTCTTCCTTCAATGTATACACACCTTGGATCATAGTGAACACATTAGTGAGTAAACTTTGGAGTACAAGCAAAAAAAGGAATGCCTTATGCTGTAAAAGTATGACTGTGGTTTAACAGAACAAAATACTGTATGTCTCACTTGTGCCAATGTTTTTTTTTTCTTTTCAAATGCAAAGATATCAAAACACTTAAGCCTCAGTCCTTAAACTACAACCTGGCACTATAGCAAATCCCTCTCCAGGTTTCTCTGTTTTTCCCCCCAGTTTTTTTTGTTGATGAAAGTGTCGTTCCTTGCCATCGCAACAGGGTCGAAGGACAGTGATGATCCTGGACATTTATGGACACCGGTCATCCTGCTCTCAATGGACATGATATGTTGATAGAGAGCAGGATGTGTGTTATTTCCTGTGATTCTCTGTGATCTGTTGTGATTGAGGGCTGTACAAAAATAAATAGAATTAAATTAAACCTATTTCTTAACAGGTCTGGGAGCTTCAGTGAATATAGATATAAAAGCAAAGAAATTCGTAACCTGTCTCCCTTCCACTCCGATGTAGCGTTAGAAGACAGCACCCTCTAGTGGCATTAAATAGAACCAACATTTTCACTTTAATCTCTTAATAAAACACATTACAAATCCACTGTGTAAATATCATCTTTTAAATTAAATTATTGAAAATTCTTCAACAGGTTTCCAGTTGGTGTTAGCATAAATAAACATTATGTATCGTCCATGTTGATAGATGTTCAACTTGCAAACTAATAAATACATTAAGACAATAATATACAAATGTAAAATACAGGCATACCAAGAGTAACATAAGAATTATCTTCAACTTCCATGGCCCAGTAGGTCACTTAAATTGCAGCTCTGAAAAAAGGAACACATCACTAGTAATATTAAAAATATTACTAATTCAATCAGCAAGAACGCGAGAGAAATCATAAATACACAAGCAATGCAATTCCAGTGAGAGCTCAATAGTTTGGTAGGACTATACACACACACACACACACACACACACTCTGCCCAAGCTGTGACTAAAGAAATGTTAAAGGAAGCAGGCAACGTTGCAAAAACATCTGGTGTGGACTGGAAAAGGTGACCACCACAATGTGCAAAAACCTTACATCTGCTATAGTTTAAGATGCAACTCTACAACACAACAGACAGTGCAATAATCCCGACGGTCACTTCAACACTGAGTCTGGTAAATGTGAAGACCACAAGCGTCGCCTGTGGCTCCAGAGAGCCTCATTCACACCAGGGGAGGATTCACTGTGGTGGGGACACTCAAGTAAACCACCTGGTTCCATCTTCACAAAATTTAATTTGAATTTAATTTGAATTTACATTTGAATTTACATTTGAAATGTTTGTATTTCTTTTGTCTCACTTAACACTAAAACACTGAGCAGTCAATTTGACTGTTTTTTGTTTTGGAAGTCATTAGTTTAATAAATGCATCTTATTTTTTAAATGTGAGTATTTATACCTTTAACTTTAATTTTAATGTAAAATTCAATTGTAGATATTTTTGGTCACTTGGCAACCAACATTCTACGGCAGTGTTAAGCCCCCTTTTTCCAAGGTACCCGCCCTGGACTGGTCCTGGACTGAGTCCGCGTGGTTTTCCACCAGAGTGGAAAAATAAGAGCTAGTTACCATAGCAATGTACTTTACTGTCAGCAGTAACAGTAGCACTTCAGTAGCCTCTGAATAAACAGTGTATGCTGCATTTCATAAGCGAAATGAAGTGAATCCAAGAACTGGGCGAGAATGAGGCTTCTGAATAAGAACAGCACTGCGGAACCCTGAATGTCTCCTCTGATTGTTCTAATGAGGCCAAATAGACAAATCCAGTTACACACAACTTTGGTCCTAAAGATACGCCTGCTCTTCCTCAAACCCGACTGACGTATTGTATCGTTAATAAATGCCATGACCTTGTTGTCGTAAACTGAAATGCTTTCTGTGTTACAAAACTACGAGAGGCCCACACTAAATGTCGGCTCCTCTGCTCTTGGTACAAAGAATAAAAGTGGTGGAGAGGAACATCTACGAACACACCAAAAGGGTGACAGCTCTACCCTACGCACTTTGTCTGAGGCCAGTGCAATTTCTGTGTTTGTACAAAGCACAGTCCAGTCCGCTCAAACAAAGTCAATGTGACCCCTGAGAGCTCTAATTCTCCAACACCACTATCTGTACGCTCTGTAACTGTCCGTTTGCATCCAGCTGCAGCCCGTGGGTCGTGTCCGTCTGGCCCTCCTGCGTTTGGCACTGGGGCTCGTCCCCCTCTGTTGCCATGGCGACCTCCATCATGGCATCTTTAGCTGCTTCAGTGGTCAGCTGGAGCTCCATGACACCATGGGAGTGGTCCTGCCCCTCTCCCTCCTGCTGCACCACAACCTGTCCGTCCAGAGGCACCATGTCAGTGCTGCCGCCCTGCTGGCTGAGCTGTACCAGCTCCACAGGGTTCATCATGGTTCCCAACTGGCTCGAGTCCTGCACACACCATCAGGCCACAAAAAGAACTAAAGACATGTTTGCAAAACACAATGTACAGTCTGAAATGCTAAAAGCAGTGACACCTCCCCCACTCAGTCAAGTAGGGAAGGACAGGCACAATAAAAGATCTGATAACCTTGTTCTATTATAAGCATGTTGAGGGCACTTATTATGAACCTACATTTATGGTAGAAAACGCTGAGAATTTAGCTCCCAACAAAGTCACACATTTGGTCATCTTAAAACAATGTTAGTAACTAAAAATCATTCTGTAAAATGCCAGAAAATTGCCATTAGGGCTGTAGTGTTGACTAAACAAATGCCCAATCAATTGAAAAGCTTTTGCATATGCTCAAAATACTTACGTACCGGCCCTAAACTGTTCTCGCAAAACATTACTTTAATGAAGAAAAACGAATAGGAATAAAAACCACAAAAAAATAAATGCAATTACTAGCAAAAAAGGTTGATCTGTCTGGAATATCAAATACACATCTGCAGCTGTTTTGCAATGACAAATTCTTGTCATTGAAATTAAAATAATTAGACCAATCAAATGTTATATTGGTCGACTATGGCACATCGACTGATTAATCTACATAACTTTTACTGCACTATATCTACATTTATGCACACATCATTTGCTACGTACAATGATAAATATAGTATGGTTTTAAAGCGACTAAAACCTACCCATGATATCTGATCACCCACCAACGTGAGCCCGGACGACGGATGCAGCGTGAATGTGTCGCTCTTGCCGTCGCTGCCCGCCACCATGTAGCGGGTGAAGAACTGAGACCCGGCTGGCAGCAGTGTGACCGTGTTGGGGGACTGGGCCAGGGAGGCGATGGGCAGCCCAGTGACCGTCAGAGGCTGGCCCACAGAGTTCAGAGAGATTGGGGAGAGCACGGTGAACTGCTGCGGCTGGAGGCTCTGCTGCGGAGAGGCCAGCAGGGTGGTGGTGGAGGCGGGCCGCGTCAGTCGGGGTCGTTTGGCGGGTCTCTTGGTGGGGGTCTTGACCTTAGGCGTCTGTGGGCAGGAGAGCAGGGCGCGTAGCTGCTGTTGCTTCTTCTGCTCCTCTAACTGGATCTCCAGATCTACGGAAAACACGCAGATTCATTCAAATGCAGACGGCGAACGGTTATTGAAATGTGATGTCGATAGTCGCTCGATTTCCAGCGCTCGAGTGGTAAAAAGTCAGCTTTAGTTTCTGAACTCAAAGTCAATGCAGAGAAACTTCTAACTTTCCGGATCAAAGTTGAGCTCAAATCCATAACGAATAAAATATTATAAAAGTAAGAAACATGTTTAAATTGTGTGGTCTAAAATCAGGAGAAAAGATTAAAAAGATAAAAGTAACAAGCACAGCCAGTTTGAGACCGATTAATGATAATGATCTTCTAAAACCCAGCCAATACCGATCACATTGACTTGACTGATCAAACATTTTTTATATATTGCCAAACTTTGTTATTATTTTACCTTCAAATCGATATCATCCTTTTGTAAGTGCTCTATTGATACAAGTATGAAGGAAACAGACTTGAGTACAAACACACATTTCAGATGATGGAATTTAGTAGTAATTGAAGGTGATTCGTAATTCGGGGTGGGGGGGGGGGGGCACCAATGCACCAGTCTCTCGCTGATCCTCCTGCAGGTGGTGGGTCCACGGGATGATAGCTCTACCAGTAGCTCTACCAACTGAGCTACTGTCGCCCCAATTCGTAATTCGTGATTCGTAATCTATTGAAAAAAATTAATAATGCTCGTTTTGCATTGGCAGAATAAGGACATGGATAGAATTAGCCTGGCCTTAGCCATCCGTACACTCCGCTCACATAGTTATACCCTATTACAGAGTATGACACATTATTACTCCAGGTGATGGCACATGTACTGGGTCAGCAGTGTCCATTATCTCGCAATGGGGTATTGTGATTTTGTCCGTTTGTGCGTCTGTGAAGATGGAATGTGATGGAAGGAATTCCAGGCCTCTCCGCAGCCCTGTCAGCGAATGCACTGTCCTTAGTGCATGTTCCAGTTGTATTTTATACAAAATTACAATTTAATTATCCATTAGCATTTATGTTTTAGACGCTTAAATTGTGATTACAAAGGAGTGGCAAACGTCCTTGGTGTGTTTAACCTCCTGTCAGTGTTGGCACTGTTGATAGGCTGAGTGCACGGCCCAGAATGCACAGGCTCAGTCTTTGTGATAGTGGACAGCTGGACCTGGCCGAGAGGGTCGGGCCTGAACACCAACATTTACACTGATGCCATAATATTGTTATAAATAAAAAAAAAGGAGAGCTGTTAAACCACTCAGTGTCTCTCCTCCTTTTTGTTGCCTCCCTATGATCCTGGGGAACAAACATTTAAGTCTTTAACAGTAAAAGTCAGGCCTTCTATAATTGTACCGTCACTACTGCTGTTAGCTTAACCCAATTTACACCAAGAAACACACGTGACATAAACACTTACACTCTAACAGTAGGAGATGCACAGAGTGTTCAATTTACACAGCTTTACCAGCTTTTTATACAGTCTTTGCTGCAGTGATGAGTCTGTTATATGCACATATTTCACTGCAGGCGTAAATTGTCAGGCTCATCACAATGCAAAGCTGTAGTGCGCACTCTAAATGATGGGTGTAAATTGAAGGGAAGTCGCCTGTCGTCCCTTCTCAGTGCTCTATGTCTGAAGTCTATCGTCATTCTTTCTGGACAATTAGGCGCACCTGTATACAAGATGCACCAGCAAAATTTTAAAAGAAAGTACATAATATAGGACAAATGTTATCATGATATAATGTAGCAGATGGATTTTAACGGATCACAACATGATTTAATGAGGGTTTTTTAATGGAAGCTAACTGTTAAGCTAACTTCCATGACAAACGAATGCCCTATAGCTACTAAAACTTGATGGAGTCAAAATAGCACAACTCTATCACAATAAAAATACACATATTAGTTGCGAGGTTCAAAGATTACAGTCTGGAAATCACAGTTTAAAAAAATTTCACATAGATCTGAAGGAATTAAGAACTTTGTGACAATTCAGTATTCTATTCCCATGTAAGCGTGGAGACTCACTGGTGAGCAGCCGCAGCTCGTCCTCCTGGCTGGGGTCAGTCTGCTCCCTCCGGCGCTCCAGGATCCTCTTGACGTTGTCCAGCAGGCCGAACACTTGGGCGAGGTTACTGAGAACAGCCACCTCTACCAGACAGGAATCTGAGATCAGTGTGGCAATCAGCACAGGGTCACACCATAAGGAAGGAGGGACATATTCAGCTGCAGTGCATTCAAACTCACTTACACCTGTGGTCTTTGAATGCTTTATAGACCCATACAACACAAAGTTTAAGTTACGCAAGGATATGTTTTCCTTAGTAGTTAGTATGAGTAGTTAGTATGATTTTCAAACATCTGCCATTTTAAATCAAATTGACAAAGCATCTTCTCCAACATGACAAGTCTTCCACAGCCTGATTTGGTTAAGCTAACTTACCTTAACTGATGCAATACACTCAGGTACTCTACAATAATATTTCAAATAATCTAGAGTTCATTTGAAACACAAAATGGTCAATAATATGGCAGCTGAATATGTCCTTTCCTTCCGCAGCTACATCAGCATTTGCATGGCATTGACATAAATTACTCTCGAGGATGCAGTGTTCTTTCGGTATATCTGAATATCTAATGAATGATCGATGTCCATACAATTTCGTGAGATTTTAGCATTCCACGGTGCGTTTGTACCTGTGTCCTGTAATTCGCCCGGCTCACTCCGCTGCTGCACTCCATTGAGCAGCGCCAGAAGCTCCGTGTTGATGTTGGTCACTACTTCACCCAGTAAACCCACGTCTGCAATGCCCTTCCAGAAGGTGAGCGTGTCCTCTGTAGCAATAAACACACGGAGAGGAAACATTCTGTCAATTGGATTAAACTTCAGCACACGGACGAAAGGACAACCAAAAGAGCCTATCAGGAGCAGAGCTGGTCTTTTCTCCCTTGCGCTATTCGCTAGTCAAAGTCAAATTCTGGGGCAAGAGGCACTTGAATGGTCAGTTGTTGGGAGGGATTTCTGGATTTACAAAGACAAGATCAAAATATCGGAGCAAAGTAGGAGAAAAAAATCCCCTATGTGCACTTCCCAATTAGGTTTCAACAAAGTTAGTGAACTAATGCTTTCCATTAATGCATTAATGCAAGTCTATGATCCCAATACACCTGTCTAATTCCATTTCAGTTGGAGGCCAGCTGCCAATACAATAATGAGAAATCAGTTTTATTTTAGAAGGGGGAGTCTGCACACCCGAGTGGGCAACAGGTACGAAGAGCAGGTAGCCAACATTAAAAGGAAAAACTCCCGCACACTGTTTCACTCCTTTATATGAGAGTGAAAAAAACCTCATTAAATTGGGTAGTTATATTATGGTTTAAAGATAAATCAATGTGGTTACTCATAGCGCAAAAGTTGCATCTTTGAAACCAGTAATAATCCTGTTATAAGGACAAAAAAGTTAATGTTTTAGGCACACAAAAATAGTAAATATTTGCCCTGGCTTTGTTGTTCCTAATAAAAACATCCTAATAAAATATTAGTAGAAAAGGTGATTAAATAAAACATTTTTAAGCAGGCCAGAAAATTTGTTTTTACAAAAATCCTTCTAGTGCAATGTCCATAAAGTGGAATTACTGACCTGAAATCTCGGTGAATTTCTCTGTTGTGTCTGCAGAGCTCCACTCCATCTTCGTACCCAGAGCGTCTGTGGGAACCTCTCCCACAATGCCACCGTTACCTAGAACTGTCTGACCTACAGAACACAATAGTTGTAAGTTGAATAATACAAGGAAAGCTCAACAGGATTACTGATACTGTTGAGTGTAATTCACAATGTGTTTAGAAGCTGTTGCAGCGGTTTACCTTGAGAAGACGTGGGAGTTGGAAGTCCAGTGCCGTCAGGAGGAAACCTTGTGTTGTTGATTAAAATATCAAACTTGGTGCTTCGACAGGTGTTAGTGCAGAGAGTGGGGTGTTCATAGAAGTCCAGCTGACCCGAATCCATCATTTTTCTGCAAAATCATTTGTACATTAGTTTATTTTTATTTATTTCATTAATTTATCAGAAATCTATACTCAATTCAAATTTTGTATAGCCCTAAATCACAACAGCAGTCGACAACAGATCCAAGAATCAAACGGTTCAAACACAGGAAATGGAAAAATAACGAACAGATCGTTAGGTCTTCGGTACCTAAAATATAAAATGACTTTGTCTCGGTCATCACTCACCTCAACATGACTCCATTCATACGTATGGCTCTCTTCCAGTCCTTGAGAGTTGCTTTTCCAGATAAATGTACAAATTGCTTTGGGCTGATGAGCTGGTCTCCATACTAGTCACACAAATCATATTCAAACAGTTATTGTGTGAGGCTTATAGCTTAGCTTTTGTCTGTAAAATTCTGGGTTTATTTCAACATACCTTCACACACTTTACATTTATCCCTGGGCAAACAAATTTCTTCAAAATTAGGACAGCTTTACAGTCGCCACAAGTGATAGGACAACCGATTTCTACTTCTTCGTCACCTTGCTCTGAAAACAGTTTAAAATATATATGCCGTTTTTCTCTCAGGATGAATGTGAGAATGAAAACATGTATTTGTTTGTATCATTGGATGTTGAGATGTGTTACCTGGGGCAGCTTCCACAGCCATTACTGCCGCAGAGGCCTCACTAGACTCATCTCTACAGAAGATTGATAAGAGATACAAATAAGAGTAAAGAGAGCAAACTCACTTTGAAGACTGGATGTGTTTGAAGAGAAGTAGGTTGTCATACAAACCCTGTGATTTGATGAAGTTGTAGAATGACTTGTGTCTTGTTGGGATCATCAGGGTCACTGTCTTCCATCTTGACCATAACCATGTCCTCCACACTGGGCACAGTCACCTCCTCAGCCATAACAGTCTCCTACGGGATGGGAGCACTTCTACTTCCCTTCAGGCTTCTGACCATCTCTATAAAAAAAAACAAATTTCTACACTTTTAAATCAGTTGAGCATTAGATTTTGTTATAGAGAATAGTATTGTGCATACTGCTTTAAATAAGCCATCTTTCATGGGTCTACAACATAAAACTGTAAACGATGTTGATGTATTTGTATACAAGTTGAAACTATTGTAGACTATAGTAGCAAGTGCATGTTGTTGTAAGCTAATGTCCATTGTTTACAGTGTATTACAGCACAAACTATTGAACTAGACGAGCGTGTGGCGCGGAAGCAGGTTTGTGGGCGACTGTACAGAAGAAGAGGCTTCTCATTGCCGCCAAAGGCAGCTGACAGCTCGGATGAAGAGCTGCATAGCATGACGGTAGCCATAATGGCTAACACAAGGGCGTAACTAGCGGTGTTATAAAGAGCAGAATAGTGCGGTCGCTGAAGCCGGGCTGGTGCTGCACACTAGTGTGTCGGTGCGTGGCGCTTGTCTAAAGCGTACGTCGCTTCGTAACAGTGTTTTAAGTCCGCTCCCTCAAAATGACGTCTCCCTGTGCGGCAGCACGTACGGCAAACAACGGCGCGGCGGCGACGGCGTTGCCTCCATTCTGTACGAGCCTGGCTGATTGGCTCTGTGTGAAATCAGCTGAAAACAGCCCTCAGCGAAGTGTCTCTGCGCTAAGCAGCCGCTGGAACACGCATTCTGCCGCATGAAACAATATGAAGGAGACAGAGAGCCATTAAATCCTAGCCTTACCGTTTATGGAGAAACACATCTCAGTGGGAGAAGCTGAGGCGCATGCGCACTCTGCGGCTACATTCTGACTTCCTGCTGAACAGCAGCTCCTTTTCACGCTTCTGTAGATTCCGCAAAACACGATTTTATACTTTTTATAAGTGACTCGTGGACACGCAGAGCGTTTATACTGAGTCCTGGACGAGCTAGCTATGACACAAGATTATCGTTAGTGTGTAGTGGACGAACTGACCGCCCAACATGGTTCTGTTGTAATGGTGCGGAGTGAGTACAAGCTTTAGTCTGACCACTGCAGCAGTGTCAGGGCTTCAGGTGAACTGTGTCTACGTGCAGGTCATATAATGTAGGCCTACACCATTCATGCGAGAGGAAATGTTCCATAAAGGATAATAGTCTCATTATTTCCCATAGGAGGCATTTGTCTTGGGACAGGGGTTCACATGCTTTACACTGACACCACAGTAGACAAAAGTCACAGGTCTGAACACCATCAGAGACCTCTAGGACCATAGAAAAAATGAGTTGACAACAGGACATAAAGACCCCTCAATCATTCCACACTTACACCTCATTAGATCTAAAGTGCAGTTCTTATTGCACCCACCCTACGCCCATTTGTTACACTGAAGAGATATGTGAATACTGGACCCTCAAACGATCTAGTATGTAGTTATTCTTAGATGTACTTGCTTCTATTGCTCAGTAGTCTGAACCCTTTCACATAAACCTACAATGCCCATTAAAAATAAGTTAAATGGAAAAAATGATCAATCATATGCAAATGTTCTACTGCTCATATATGTTTTTGAGAGAGATCCACAGACTGGTCACCCACAGCTCCTTAAATAAAGATAATAAATCAAAGGTTTCATATGGTTTTTGGACTCGCAGATTCCCTCCATACCTAGTGTGGTGATGTGACACAACTGTAATCAGATTTTGTCTATTCACCTTTTGCGGTTACAAACCACTTTGGAATATTTGTGCAGAAATACCCAGTGAGCACAGTAGAAAATCACAAAACTATAAAACATATAGGTCACAACAATCGACACTGAAAGTAGATTTTTTCTAAGCACATACTAAACACCATAAACGGAAGGGTTTATTTTTTTACCCTGAAGACAAGAACAGCCACAGCTGCCCTGGGGCCAACTGCCAGAAGTGAGAGTATACTGAGCATAGTTTGTATAGCATATTTCCTACACAAGGCAATTCAAAGTACTGAATAAAAAAAGATATTAAATATTAAAATCCTAAATAGTCACAATACAGAGTGAAGATACAATCCCTCAGTTGTTGCACAGCTGTAAAAAAAAAAAAAAAATACCAACACTTTTTATCCAGCAATTGAACGTTGTAAGAGAAGCATCCTGTCTGACAGCAGGAAGACTGTTCCAGATTATAGCAGCATGAATCTGAAATGCTGCCTCCCCATATTTGGTTCTGTCTCTGTCTCTGGGACCTGAGTTAGTTCACTTCTCATTCTTCAATAATAACAGGAGAGGAAGTAAACATTTGTACTTATGGAACAGAGAGATAATATTGGGAAAACAAGTGTTTGTAAAAAGTCGCTCAATATTTTATTATAAGACGTTTTAAATTGTATATTTGCTTCTTTATTATGCTAAACTTATAGATTTTATTTGATTTTAGTTGTTATTGTTCATTGTGTGCTCCTCATTCCTACAGCACTGTCACTTGTGATGCAACACTGACATTTGTTAATCTATTGTTTGCATCTGCAACTTTTTACAATCATTAAGTTGTTTTGACCCAAGGATCTTGATCATGAGTTTTAATATATTGTGTGATATATTTTTTTATGAGCAAAATGAGTACAACTGCTTGGATTTAAAACAAACTAATGAACCCTTGTGCTACCCTTGGGTCTATGACCCACCGCAGATGATGAAAGTAGAAGAAAAATATCCCAAATTAGGGTTTAAAAGGGTTTAAATGACCCAGGACTGGTCAAGCTTGTGAAAATTATCACAATTCAGCTCGGAGAAAAAAAAAAGATTTAGGGTAGTTTAGTATTAGTAAGTACTGAACCTAGGGAGGTTTAGTATTTTTAAGCACAAGGCTAAAAAGTATTATAGACTGCTGAATAATGTTTACTTTTAATTATGACTTATTATATGATAATATAAATGGTGAGGTTATTTTTTTTCTTTATAAAATTATCTTTAAAATTATACATAACTTGTCATTATCTCAGTCTCTCAGTGGGGTTAGCTTTGCCGTGCACTTGAGGCACTGTTGGTGATATTGGATCATCTCACAGAGCAGACAAAAATCCCTGGAGTAATGAATGATAGTACAAAGCATGGTTATGCATACTGTGCGTGTATGTATATATATATATATATATATATATATATATATATATATATATATATATATATATATATTAGGTTAGTCAAACGATTATTTTTTTTTAGTTGATTAATTGCATAGTAATAGTGAGTTAACTCACGATTAATCGCATGTTTAACATTCTATTTCAAATCCACTCCAATTGAAGTTAAATGAGATTATCAAATATAATTACCAGTATTGGGTAAATTACTTTGTTACTCCACTATAAAAGTAACTAGTTACCAGTAAAAGTAACTATTGCGTGGTACCGAGCTTCAGCTGGCTGTAATTTAGGATAACTTCTAAGTAGATTAATTGCTGCAACAACCCCACCCTATTTTAGTATGATATGTTAGTTTAGGGAACTGTCCTGCCAAGGTATAAGACAGGCCAAGGTGCCATTTAATTCAATTGCATTTATTTTTATCCATTGATCAAACAAACAGATTACAAAACTTGCAATTGAAAGAGACTATTTTAAAATAATTAGTTCCCAAAAACACACACGAGCAACACTCGCGCCTGACAGACAAGAACCAGGGAAAATACAGTGCGCAGAGCGCTGAGTATGTGAACGCAGAAATCGCTTGCTGCTGTTATTATAATAGCTAGATCCATGCTTGCAGCCCGTGCAAAGCTTGCACTCACTCACAGCCGCTAACAACAACCAGGGCGGCCACGGAGGAGGCCATCTCACACGCAGCATTCTGAGTGATATTCTTATGGATAAATGGGCGGGTCATTCGGACATGCGTTAATGCGTTTAAAAATAAATAACGTGTTAATAAAAACTGTAATTAACGTGAGTTAACGCGATAATTTTGACAGCCCTAATATATATATATATATATATATATCTGCTACATTCTTAATCAGAATTATTTTTACTGCCATTGTAATTAACAAACTATAGGAAATTGCTTTGGCTTTCAGGGCAAGCCAAATTTTAGGAAAGAACCGCCCTTTCCACTTTCTGGTCTTATTTGATGAGCATGTATCACCAGGATGATTGACAAAAGGGAGGACCTATAGGCTTGATGATCCACCCGGAAGTAGAAAATCTCCCTCCATCCATCCATCCATTTTCTTCCCCTTAATCCATTTCTGGGTCGGGGGGGTAGCAGTCAAAGCTGCTCCCAGTACACATAGCCATAAAAAAGATTTGTTTTATAACAAATCTTTTACCTAACTTAAAGGTATATAGGAAGATTTTAGGAAGATATATATATATATATATATATATATATATATATAAATATATATATATATATATATATATATATTCAACAGATCCAAAATACAGGAACATTATATCAAAATTCATGTCAAATAAAATGTAAAAGTCAAATTACAAAAAATTGTTGTAAAACAAATACATAAATATTACATTTATATTAAACAATCAAATACATAAACATTACGTTAATACTAAACAATCAAATACACACATTATATTATCACTAACCCATCTATGGCCACAACCAGATCACATCTTCAGACACTGGTTTAGAGTTTTATACCATCATGAAGAAATTGTAAGATTTATTTTGTACAGTCTATGCGGGACGCCAGGAGTAACGGTCACTAGCAGTCCCTGTAATAAAAATTTTGTTCCCGAAATCTCTTGATTGCGATTCCGCACACAGTGTGGGTGACCACCCTGTATGTGCCAGTCGCGGCAGAAACCCTTTTATCGGAGTGCAGAATCAGCTCAATAGTAACCTAAAGGGTTAACGCATCTCGCTCATGGTTATAAATACGACACAAAAATGTAATAATTATTTTCTCACTGTATACTGACACAATTCACAACTCGTAGTAAACAAATGGTTAAAGAGCAGGACAAAAAAACCTACCTATTTGTAACAATCTTTCATTAAACGTACTATTTTGTTTCTGTTGACGTGCAGAAATGCATGATGGGTAAACGGGGGTTCTTTTCGCTCGTTGGTCTTATACGGTGTTGCATTTTTTTTCCAGAAAAAAGGAAAATCCACATTATGATGCATTCATCATATTGTGTAACTTAAATTATTTGAGTATAAATCATTTGTATAAAGTTAAACATTTCAAAAGTAATCCGTTGGAAGAGTAGTCGTAACACATAATGGCCACAGGAGGGCGCAAACAGAACACGCAAGTCGAATCTACTTTGTGTATGTATTTATTTATTTACAATTATTACTATGCATTGTCTTCAACAATAAAACCGATTTAACAGTATTTTTTATTGTAAAGCTCCATACTGCAAGTGCAGAAGATTTAGTGAAGTCTGATGCAGTCTGCCAATTTGTAGTAGAAAACGTGCCTGCTCTTATCAACATGAAACTCTGCCCACATGTACACAAACCAGAATAACGTGTATATTACATTTGATCTTGATATATTTATTTGTGGGTAACACCATAGTTAGTTTTTTGTTAATGTTTAGAATATAGGACATGGGTCACAACCACAATGTGAACTTGTGTTTGGTTAAATTTGGATTAGAAAACAAACTTGATTGTCAGTTAAACTACACTATTAGATGACTTTGTATAATTGTATTCATAGCTACATAAGTAAAAGGAACATAGATGTCAAATTAACAATGCAATAGGCCTATAGGTTTAATGCGGTTACTGGTATCTGATCTCAAGGGGGTTCTCTCGGCTAATTTTCTTCAAATTGCAAGCGTTTTTACTGTTTGCCACACATCTGTTAACCCAAAATTCTTGAGATTTGTCTCTGTTTGTGCTTGTGAAAGTAAACACAGAGCAATACCACAGAGATTGTTAAGGGACGTTAAAGTCTTGTCACGTTTCCAAAGCTTGTTTTATTTAGTTTTCATTAATTGGAAGAATCATCCGACAAGACTATACAGTTTGTGAAGGCCTGGTTGAATTAAAGTTAAATTTTAACTGCCCCAAATTGGAGACTTACAAATATGTATCAATCAATCAATCAACCAACAGTGACATTGGTATAGACTTATATAATGCACCCAGATTTTTGTGTTTGTGAAAGAATAAGACAAAACATATTTTAGAAAGATATAAAGTCACGTCACTATACAAAATCTTGCAGATACAAAATGGCAAATACGTTTCATGGGTGTCTTGTGTGGTAGTGAAGCCTTCTTTTAACACATGTATTTCTATTTTTCTTTGAAGGGGACGAGATACTTGATTGTGATATTATATGTTGCTGCATATTCCAAGCAAAGTTGATAATCAGGTAATCTTCGGCAGGTGAGACACAGGCAAAGGAAATAACAATTGATTTCTAGCTTATTTCTTATAATGCCTGATGGTCAACATTGCTAGTAACATTGAATAACTATATGAGTGCAAAATCATTTGATAAAAACTTGATAAAAACTATTCACTTTGTAAATCCGCTCTTATATTACAGGTGCTGAAATGAAACTATATGCCGTTTTATTTTAAATACATCTTGACTACAGCCGAGTTTCTGTTACAAAACAATCATCAACTCACAAAATGAAGTCTAAGTTTGGCATAGGTGCACATACAGCTTGAAGCGCAGATTTGTGAGACAGGAGTGGTTCATTTTCAGATATCTCAATAGATTTCAGTTGTATTTACAATGATACAGTCACAAGATGGCGGAAAGAGTGCCGCGTGTAACATTGATGTGATGCCAGACTAGAGAGTTTATAAAGTCTTTTCACCACAGACTGGGCTGGCTCCTTCTTCTGACACACAAGACAGTCCAACATGCTTCATCACAACAGGAGATTCTACTCTGCTCCTCTATCAAGCCAGTCCCACTGAGCACACGGTGAGGGGGATGGAGGCCAAAAATCACCATTCTGTCTGCCAGACTGCTGACCGGGCCGGCTGCGAGAGGCGGAGGAGCGGACAGTGCTTTGGTGAGTGAGCAGTTAATACACAAAAATGCTAATGTTGCTTGTTAGTTCAGTACATGTTCATTGGGATTAAGTGTTTTCTATTTGACTTGAAAGCTTTGTGAAAATTGCATGTCCAGATTGAAGAATATACATTACTACAATATACACTAGGGCTGTTACAAGGTCATCGATTCATTGCAACTATTCAATTATTGAGAATAGTTTGGTGATCACAGCAACTAAAATTGTGTTGCATTCATAACAAAAAGTACATTTCTGATCATGGGCTACTGAATCATCATGCACAGTAAGTATTTTTCAACAATAATATTTTTAAATTTGTGTCTCCCCTGGGCCTATCTACGACCAGTAAGATTTTCTGGAGGAGAACAGTTAAACCAATGACATGGGGATTCAAGGTTTTGAATTCATTTTGACCAATCAGGACGCAGCGGAGTGAACATGGGCGGGTCTAAAACTGTTCTTTTCACAATTTCATAGTTTAGCCTATTCCTAAAACATGCCAAGTGATGTCTTGACTCAGACAGAGCTATAATTACCATCGAGTAATATCTAGTTCGTCTAGTTTCCATGAAGTTGTTCTTGAGTGACATTACATGAGCTTGTTTTGCTTCACCAACTTCTCGATTAATATAAAGAATAATCGACCAAACTTATGAATTGACAAAGTAATCGTTCATTACAGCCCTAATGTACACATGTCATAGACTGGAACTGGTCATTGTTTGTGGCAAGTACCGTAAATAACCGTAGACTGTAGAAGGAGTGGACTAACCGAGTGCTGATGTCACCCATAATATTTGCAATATTGCTGAAGAAGCCGATAAAGGCTAACTCAAACTCACATAGCAACGACCTAGCAACCAAAGAGCCAATCAGGAGTGGCACTGTTCTGCTGTTACTTGCGCTACACAGAGCGTACCTGATTGGTCAGTTGTTAGGGAACATATCTGGATTTACAAAGACATTATCAAAACATTCAGACCAGGATCATACAGAGAAGTGAATCACAGACTGGAATCAAAGCCCAAAATGGTGAGTGTGACACAAACAGTTACAGACTACTATGGTTTTTTCTTGGAGCAAAACTTGGTCCATGAGCACTGCCTTCATCACGGGTTAGCATTGTCCATTCCTAAATACAGTTTATAAGATAAAGCGAATAGAGCACCACCCACAACATACAGTAATCATTTGCCTAATCCACGTCAAGCCCGGGTTCACATGTTTAGTTTCTATACCCTGTGTATTAGAAAATCTTAACAGAATTTTGTGGCAGAATCGGCAAAGCTCCAGTTTGGTTGGACGGATCTAGTCAGCAGTGGCAGCCTTTCTCCGGAGCAGCTCTGGCCAGCTCCTCCTCCTCATCGGCCGGGTAGAGGACCTTGGCAGTCAGCCCGCTCTTGACTCCATCCCAGCCGTCTCTGGTGGTGATCTCTCCCATCTTCATGAGCTCGTAGATGTCCCGGGTGAGGAGCTCGAAGGCGCGCTCCACGTTGCTGTTGCATTTGGCCGAAGTCTCCACGTAGCGGATGCCCAGGTCGGCCGCCAGCTGCTCGGCCTCGTCCCGGGACACTTTGCGCTCCTTGCTGAGGTCGCTCTTGTGGCCGATGAGGATGTAGACCATGTGGTGGGGCAGGATGTGCTCGCTGACCTCCTTGTGCCAGTCCCGCACGTGCTCGAACGTCTTGCGGTTAGTGAGGTCGAACACCAGCAGCCCGCCCACCGAGTTGCGGTAGTACGATGTGGTGATGGATCTGTAGAGGCAGATTCACAAGGTAAGAGCAGGGCAGAGGGACCATATTTGAAGAAACAAATGTGTTAATGAGTTTTTTTAGTATTGGCAGTAAATATTAAATATTTGCTCAGTAAAAATGGATTAGAATAGATCTGGCTTTTCAAAAAAACTGCTGGGTAAAGGGGATTTTTTTTTTCTAATTTAATCCCATGTATTTTGTCAATTCAATTGTTTTTTGTACAAACGACAGAAATTGTCTCGAAGGACTTTACAAAGTTGTCAATTCGTCAACAACAGATCAGAGAATCAGACCGTTTGAACACAGGAATTACAATATTAACAAACACATAGATTGGTTCATAGAGAGTGGGATGACCAATGTCCAAAATGAAATGAACTATTCATTTATCCAACTATTTCCACCAGAGAAGGCAGATACCTGTTCAAAACTGTCTACACTTGAGAGTTTATTTTTAGCTTTTTATTTATTTATTTTTGTTGCTATTAAACCTAGGGTGACAGTAGCTCAGTTGGTAGAGCATCGGCCTTTGAGCCTGAAGGTTGTGGGTTCAAATTCACTGACTCCCACTGATGACTGCTACCGTTGTGTCCTTGGGCAAGACACTTAAACCCACTTTGCCCAAAGCCCCCGCTGGAAGATCTAGCCTCCATGTGGATTCACCACCTGCAGGAGGATCAGTGAGGGCTGGTGCTATGTGTACTGGATGGCGAATAAACCTGTCCTTTTGTAAAGTGTCTTTGAGTCTCCAAAAAAACGCTATATCACTATGAAGCATTATCATTATTATTAATACATTATTATTATTATACTACATATTAGTTTAAGTAAAAACTAATCTCTCAAAATACACAGAATTGTACACCCTCCGGCAAACATGTCAATATTTTGGCCAAATTTTAGAGACATATCGCGGATATATTGTGGCTAAAACTGGCACTTTTACAGAAATGTTCACTACAGTGCATTGGGGTTTGCACTTGTCCTTCACAGCTCTCAGCAGAAAGAAGGTACGGGGTTCGATTCCACATTCTGCTTTTTCTGTGTAGAGGTTTAAAAACTGGGTATCACAATGACGGAAAACAAAGGAAAACAAAGGCACAGCACATCCCTACATTTAAATCAGTGATAAAAGATGAATAATAGGCCAATCAATATACAGCTTCTTCATTCGAGTAGACTAGAGGGAAGTCATGAGGGAAGTGTTGCTTTAAAATCAAAAGTAAAACTGCCTGACAAGCATTATGTCACATGATGGCAATATTATTATGGGAACAATTCTATTCAAACTGTATGTTGCAGATCTAGAGGGCGGTATTAAAGGTCAGCAGATGGCTTTAGTTTCCCTTAATTATTCCCTAAAGGCCATTTAACACAAAGTGAAAAATCTTTAGCTTTACACAAACAACTTAGCCTCTACTAAGCAGAAAGAGTCCCTCGTCCAGACTCCATAAAAAAAAGATTCTAAGTGGTTTCAGTTATAGCCAATGGCCAATTTACATGTGTTTCTTCACCCAAAAGTAGCTCAGGAAAAATGAAAGGGAACCTCGAGGAAAACCTCTTCTCAGAACACTGGATTTCAAAGCAAAGCAGATCTAAGTTGCAGAGAAAAGCCTCGGCAGCCGCTTGAAAGAGAACAATCAACAGGCCAAAAACATCCACGTTTGAGACCTGTCATCCTCCTGTTGCAGTCTCCGTTGCCTAGGAGACTAGGATCCCAGAATGAGGAGGATGCAGAAACGTCCATCATCCGTGAATGAATGCAATGGTGATGCAATGTGATTTTTCTAGTGCAGATAAATTAGAAGACCAGGGCAAGAATAATCATGCCCTGACCTCCTTCTCAGATGCCCCCTTTATCAGCTGTCAACATGTGAGCTTTTTAGTGCTAGCAGAGATAGCATCATTTTATCTGAATGGAATTTGTCAGTGTAAAATGTCTGTGCCACAACTGTCCATGATGCCACTCTAGTAATATGACTTGTTTAAATGTGCCTGTTTTTACATGCAATCAAATTACATACACTTTGATACACGTATTTTCAACATTTACCAAACAACATACCATACCATAATGTTGCTAGGTCATGTTGTATGGAGGCCATTGCTATATTCATAATGGCCGACTTTGTGAATGATCCAAATCCAAAGCTAATTTATTGCAAGTGTATTTTACGAGTGAATTATTGTTGTCGTGTTCCATTTCTCTGCATGTTGTGACGAGCACATTTGTGGGGTTTCTTGTCCTCCATAGATCACTACACGCCTATGCCCCTCCATTATTAAACATCAGATAATGCTTCTTAAAAAATGCGATATATAATAATACAAATGGCTTGCTGGAATATTTTATATTCACCTGAATCGCTCTTGCCCTGCAGTATCCCACAGCTGGAGCTTTATCTTCACCCCGGGTTCTATATCCAGCGATCGAGCATAGAAATCTACCCCGACCGTGGGATCTGCTACATCACTGTATATACCGTCCGTGAAGCGCTTCAGCAACGACGACTTGCCCACAGTGGAATCACCGAGCAGAATGATCCGAAACTGATATTGCCACAAAATATCCATGGCATGACGATTGTGCGTGGAACAAAGCCCCCCACAGTAAGATGTTTACATGGGCCGCGCTGCTGGACGTCCGTGCAGTGTGTTGCTCTGGAGGAAGAAGCGAGAAGCAGGCTCTCCACGGAGCGAATCACGTGACGAGCGGTACCCCTGCTCCTGTACGGGCCACTGGAAGCCCAAGCCACACAGAGACCGATTGTGAGAACAAACGGATAAGCCCTACTGATATTTTAAGCCTAAAACTCTATTTCTGAGCCACAAGTGTGCGTCTCGCCTTTTTTCGCAATCCCACATTCTTTTACTGCTATTGTTAATGTCTTATGTTGTATGATCCATTCCAATCAGATACAAAAATGGCATGTGAAGTTGGTCGCTGTCCGTGGTTCTGAAATAGACTCGGGAAAACACAAAGACGTCACTGTTACAATACATTTGCATGTATATCGATGTTATTTCTACACGTAGAATCGATAAAACCTCGTTAAAAGTCCCAAAGTAAGTTGACAACGCAACACAAACAGACGTGCTGCTGAATAAAGGCAGTTATTGCGCGAAACACACACTAAACTACGTATCCCAGAATGCCATTTGACACGTGAGTGCAGGGAGCCAATCAGCGCAGACCGGAAAAGGCGCTAGGGTATATAAACTTCCCCGAGTCTTCTTTCCGTCCTCTTTCTGCTGTATGCCCATAGTTGGAGGGGACAACGCAAAGTCAACAAGCTTAAAGAAGGTAAGAGTATGTCTGTCTGCTTCAGTGATTCATTATGTATTTCTAAAGTATTCTAAGTTAATGTTGAAGCCATGTTGTAAACAGAAGTTGTCAAAATCACCAGTCGCGCTACTTAATCTTTCTCGTTAGAACGCTTTAGCAGTACTGTAATAATTCTCGTCATCTTTCATCTGCCTAATTTTAATATAACTCATGAAATTGCTTTCCATTCTGGATCTCATTTCCTCTTTGCAGACAGCATTGCAAAAACCCTCGTTTAGAATAGCCCACTTAGCATTAGCATCTTCTGCATACCACGTGGCTTTTGCACTAGCAGGGACATTTGGCTAATAATGGCTTTGATGACACACTTGCCCTCACTGATAATGGTGATGAGGCTTTTATGTACTCTTAACTGAGCTACTTACACCAAATGCAAACATTCACTTAAATATGCAAAGTTTAGTATGGTTACAATAGCATTTCAGTTGTACTAAATGTCTTTCCTCCCCTAGGCCTGGGTTGTGTATAACGTAACACCAGCATGGACTCGACACAAAAGAGGCAAGTATCAAATGTAAATTATTTAAGGCACTATCGAAGCCGTCCATGTTCTTTAGTAGCAGTGGTCGGTCAACATGATGCCGAAATCAATACTTTCACCGACGGTCGCTGTTCAGTTTTTGTAACTGTTTCAGCAACAATTTGGGAAAGTACATTCTAACTTTACATGGAGTTTTGTACTAAATGCCGTTTTTATGTAGGTTCTGCCTATCCATGGGGTGTGGAATTGGTTAAACTAGACTACGTCAACTTGGCTTTTGAAAGAGGTATAATGTCATGAAGTTCTTGTTCCTATAATGGCTGTGATGACACACTTGCCCTCACTGATAAAGGTGATGAGGCTTTTATGTACTCTTAACTGAGCCACACTAGCCCTATGCAAGAAAATATTTAAAATGGGCTAGACTTACTTTTTGCTTTTCCTCTCAGGAGTTTGAAGATCAGAGATGGCGTTGTCTGGCCCTAGATCTACGCCTGTGGGAGCTGTCCTGTAGACCTGCCAGCTGGAGCACCCGTGTGGCTGGTGCATAGGGGGTGGCAGGCTTTTCTGCACTTTCTTCAGGTAAACATTAAATTCATAACTACTTGATAAAGGCACGCTATCCTAAGTACTTGTGCTTTTTTTTGTAGCGCTGGTTCTCCAAGTGCGTGCCAGAACATTGGGTGGTCTTTGACTGCTATGGCCTTAACTATGCCACCAGCAGCCACTCAACTGTCCTACAAGACTTTGTCCTAATGAATGAATAGATGTATTTAGTTCAGTGTTTAATGCGGTGTTCCTCTTTATAGGGGTGCACAGGCTTTTGAAGACTTTGCTGGATTAAATCTTCGCTGGTTTTGAGGTGAGTAACTTTGGATGCGAACTACGAACTCGTAACAATCAATGATGACCAACTGAATGGTGACTTTTGGATGAAACTAGCGGATATGGGACTGAGATTGGCTGTACTCTGAATGACTTTTGCCAGAAGCTGATGCAGTGTACTAATCTGTTCTGTTTTTCAGGTCCTGTGAAGATTAAAATAAAACTTTTTAAATATTTGTCAAATAAACTTGTTAAATCTAATTTGCTTCGTGTTGTGACTGTAGTAACTAAAATGGACATGTAAATCCTCTTGCATGATTGGGTTCAAACTACCTAAGCAGTTCACTGTTCCACAAACTCACGCTGCCATGGGTGAAAGACCTGCTAGGGATTGTGATTCATAAAATGGAATTAAGTTGAACTCTGACTGACTTGCCAGCCCTGGATGTGTTGGCCCACAATTTGTCCTTTAGACCAAAGGAGACCCATAACTTTGTCTTCCAAAGAAATCTCACTGGGGCAATTTAACCTTTGGCATAGAATCACTCAACTGGCTGGTGTGTTTTGGATTGAGTCACATGAACCTTTCAAATTGGCTTTCTCTTCAAACTGGGATGTTGACTTTTTCAGAATTCACTTGCATGAGGGTAGCAGCCCAAACACTAGTTTACACCAACCCAGCTGACTGTACCCAATGTGTCCTGGGACATTACCAGGGGGTAAGAACTGAGCCACAACTGGGGCACTCGCCTTGTCATCCAAATCTTTGACCTTACACTGGAGAAGGACATGTCTCAGGGGGCGAGAGCTTGAATTTTCAGCATAAACTAACTAGCCCTTTACTTTCTCCCTCATGCCTACTACACTATTTCCCTAAACACGAGTTCATACGAGTTTGTACCAGAACTGAATCATTGGTATAAGCTGGAAATTTATTATGAAATTCCATTTAGAACCATAGTTAATTAGAAATTGAAGGCAACTTCAACTCTGAGATTTCAGAGTCTGGTGTGCTGCTCCCACTTCGGTCACTGTATGTGTCTCTGAAAAACAAATGCCGGGTTATTCAGAAATACTAGTAAAATGGCATTAAAATTGTATATAATAGGTTTAATACATAGTTATTTAAATAGGAAGTCCCAGATTGTAGGGTAAATTAAGACCATGAAGTCGATGTTACTTTACTGCTGCTGTCAATTGTGCAATTCATGATCAACACAGACCTCGTCTTTATGGATCTATCACACAACTGCTTAAACTGTTGGCAACAGCTGGTTTTGGTGTAATTTCAGGTTTACTTTGAACTTAAACGCTGAAGAGTTCAGTTGCATCACAGCTGTATTAAGCTCCACGCAGTTGAGAGACCAGGGTGAGCCAATCATGTGCACCAAATTTAACAAGTCGCCAATATAAAAATGTCATTGCTGTTTGCATGTGTAAAGGATTAAGCCACGGCCCTTCCATTTTAAGGCGTCTAATGTTGAAAGCGTGTGTTCCATTGTTGGCATTAGTTACTCCAAGAGCCGCACATCAGTGTGTCATACATGTCCACTGACCGAAATGTGTGATTGTTTTAGGAAATTTATGGCAAATTTCATTCATTACCATGAATGTAATCATGGTAATGATTACACCATTTGTTTTTTATGTTTAAGCATTAGTCCCATTTGTTTTTATGTTTAAGCCTTCAAATCTGACATTGTTAGATTTAGGATTAGGTTTTTGTGGCGTACCACAATATTTATGAAACGTTTTGTCTGATTTTCAAGCTCATCAGGCTTTTCATTTGGCTACATACATCAAATTTTATAATGGGGCTTCCCGGTCTTTTGTCTCATACAAGTTATCCCCTCGTTACCATAAACATGATCTTGCTTTCCTCCCCTTAAATCAATTGGAAAACAAAAGGTACAAATCAATCAAATAGTTACTTTGGGTGTAACTCGTAATAAATATTTATTCACTTTATATTCAAATGCCAACACTGACGACAGCAGCCATTTACCGTGGGGACAATCTGCAGCCTTTCTGCAAGTAGCCTGGGAGCCTCCCTGCTGCCGCCAATAGTAATCCAAGATACGGTGGTGATGGTTTGATTGGACGAGAGGTGAACTCCGGGTGATACTGCACTCCAACAAAATATGGGTGATCTGGTTTTGAAAATGAAAAAACACTTTCAGTGATGAAGTTCAACTAACAAAACACTTTCCACTTTTCACTTACCATCCAGTTCAATTACTTCCATTCGCTCGCCTTCAACATCCTGACCTACGAACCGGAAACCCTTCTCCTCAAAGTGGCTCTTCAGCTCTGGATTGACCTACATCAGTAAAATATCAGAACTGTTTGGTTACAGGACATGTAGATCTGTCACAATAACCATGTTGAATTATCATTTGACAAGCAATGATACACAACTTTGAGACTGGAAAACGGGAGCTTTTGCATATGTTGGACATAGCCCTACAGTTACATGGTGAATATTACCTTTAAATATTGCATTTGTACTTTGCACTTATTGCGTTCGACAGTTTTATTCTCTGATCTGTGTTGGCAAATTTGACGGGTTTTTTCAAAGTCCTTCAAGATAACTACTGTTGTGATTTAGGCCTATACAAAAATACATTGAATTGAATTGAGTTCGGTGTACCTTTGGAAATTATCTAATATCTGAATTGGTCAAAATAATGTGAGGAGATTAGAAAGACTGTCCTTGTTTGATTTTCTACATGATTCTACGTGATACGTCTTTGGTAACTCTGCAAACTCATTCTCATCAGAGTTTCATGTTCATCAGTGTCAGCTTGAACACGTATGGAGATATATCCAAAGGTTATTTCTCACCATGTTCAACGTGTACTTGCCTCAAAACGATGCCTGTGCCTTTCTTCAACATATTCTACATCACCGTAGAGCTTCCCTACAAATGGATAATGGCATAAATACAAATGCATTTTTTTATGTTTACCCATCAGTTTGTTCAAAAGTCCTCACGCAAAATACTGTTGTTAGTTTTAAAGATAGTTCTTCTTTTCCCCAATCTCATTGTGCCTCCCATTTGACCAGGATTGTGTTCTGGCATATCGATTACCTGTTAAACATAAATTAATCTTAACAGATGAAGCATTAATAGAAAAGCTAATAATGCACATTTATCTTACCACTGGATGTTTGGACTCTGGGTCAAATTCTGTCGAGTTTGCATCTATAAAAGCAGATTTAGTAGTTTTAATATAAAAAGGCACATCTCATTTTTAGTAAGTTTTAGTGGGGATGGTGCCTTACCTTTCCATCCAAGTGTGTTCCTGGCAAATTCACACACAGCTAACTGCATTCCTAAACAAACACCTGAGCAGGAGGTAGAAACATGTTTTGAATGAGCTTTCAATGAGAATGAAATATATAAACTAAAATAAAGTGATTACCGAGGAAAGGCTTCTTCTGTTTCCTGGCCCAGCCGATAGCGTGTATCTTGCCCTCAGTTCCTCTGACACCAAAACCTCCCGGAACCAGAATGCCACTGAAATCAGACGCACATTAATATGCAGAAAACATCGGTTTACTTGAGTACTTTCACTTACTCAGCGCTGCACAGCTTTTGCCAGGCATCATGGTATTTCACTGGTTCCTCTTGTAAAGTACTAGGCTCAAGAGCTGCAGAGTCTATATACTAAAATAAGAAGCACTAAATTAATACATTCAATCCCAAATGGCTGTACAGTGTTTACTAAGCTACTATAAAAGCCCAACCTCCAAACCAGCACTTACTTTGACTTCTAGCTTGTGGCTAATGGACAGAGCCGAGTGCTCCAATGCCTTAATAACAGAGGCATAAGAGTCAGAAAACTTTGTGTACTTTCCCACCAAGGCTATGGAACAGTGTTCTAGGAGCCTGTCCGATCTGAAATTATCAAAACACATATTTGTTTCTGAACAATGGATTAGTAAAACATGCAGTTGTGCCGTTGCAACCTGTCAGACATCTCCTTCCACTTGGTGAGCATCTTTCTGGGGCGGGTCTCAATGGGCATGTTGAGCCTGCGGCTCAGGTAGCCCACCACCCCCTGGTCCTCCAGCAACAAGGGCACTCTGTAGATGGAGGAGACATCATGGACACAAATCACCTGAAATAAACAACACATACTTAGAACTGAAACGTTTTATTTGGAAAAACATTATATTTACCTGCTCTGGGGCAACATGGCAGAACATTGAAATCTTTTCTTTGACAGAAGTCTCCAAAGCGGTGGTGCAACGGCACATTATCTGAAAAATTTGATGTTTTTCATATTACTTCAAAAGAGTGTAAACAAAACATTGTATCTAAATCATTGTTCGTTTGATCGTATTAACAACTGTGACCAAATGTATACATAGTTCCCACAGACCAATGAATGTCACATGACCTCCTCGGAGACGCCATCTTTGATGGCACGCTGCTGTGTTTGTGCATTCCATTAAACAGAAGAATGAGAATAAATGTAGATATTCAAACGCAAATTGGAAAAAAAGGGCAACTTTTGAGCAAATAATTGTATATTAATACAATGGCACCACAGTTTAACGTGCTACGGACATGTTTTACATATTTGATCAAATTATGCAGCAAAAATTAACAAGCAATGCAAACATTTCTCAAAAACTTTAGATTTAATACCAGTTGGAGCTCCATTTAATTATTTTAATTATATTAACAATTAATTTAATTAATGCTAATGCCACACGGACACTCTGGATTGCTGTTATTGTTTATTTCCGCGTTTTTGACCGTATGTTTTGGTGAATGGTGGGCAACTGATTTTTCCAGGCGTAAAGAGCAGTTTATTTTATGACACAGATCTCTTTACAGAAGCAATGCTGTTTGTGAACATTGTTTTAGCCCACCATAGAACTATTATTATCTATTTAATACATTTACGTTGCCCTCGAGAGCCTCGGACGCGACACCGATCCTCCTCATAATAAAGTAATCTAAATAATGAAACTCTCAAGTTACCAGATATCAGCATACACAAGTTAGTACTGAGTAAATTACGTCTGTCAACACATTATAAGATACGATACGCACCTGACACAAAGTGCTCCGAGCATATTCTTGCGTGTTTTGAGGGAGTTTCTTGCCTGTTTATCTTCGCAAGCCATAACCTCCGTGGTTGTTCTGACAAAAGCTTAGTCTTCTCACATTCATGAAGTCTAATGATGGGTATACTGTAAAATCCAAGTTTAACGGAACCTCCGGCACGATTTGAACATCCATTGACCCAGCAGGAGATGACCATTTTCAACTTTATCACGACATTAACACGTTTCAGCTTCTTTTTCTATTGTTTTGCCCACAGCATGCCAACACAAATGGCGCCGGGTCGGCAAATCCCCGTATGTAGTGACGTCATGTGGGAACTATGTATTGAGCAGAACTCACCAGATCAGGAGACAGGCCCAGTCCTCTCAGCTCTCGGACACTGTTCTGGGTGGGTTTGGTCTTCTGCTCCCCCGTTGCACTTGGCTGAAAACAGCAAGTGCAATGTTAGAGTCATCTAGAGTATCCTTTTTTAAAGACACCACTGCTCAGACAATAACTATTTTCACTTCCTGCCACTGGTACACACTCACTGTTCACTACTTTGTTTATATTTTTTATTTGCATTTCATCATTTGTGACACACAGGCGAGTCTCACAATGTACCAAAAATAATAAATGCACAAAATCAATACCAACAGTATTTGTTTGAGAACTATAACAATGAATTCATGCGTCAATATTAAGGGTGTGTTTTAACTAACCTGTGGTATCAAGCTGACGTGGATGTTACAGAAATTCTCCCTCTTGACTTTAAACTGGAACTGCCTGAAGGCCTCAATAAAAGGCATGCTCTCGATGTCTCCAACAGTTCCTCCCAACTGAAAAACACAGCTAAAGGGATGACTCAAAGTTCCCAGAAAACGAATATGTGACAAGTCAGGCTGACCTCTATTACGCAAACTTGAGGTTCCACGCCATCGTCATCAACAGGGACTTTGGCCTGCTTCACAACCCACTCCTGAATGGCATCTGTTATATGTGGAACCACTGAAACGGCAGGAGAACTATCAACATCGATCCAATACATGGATACATTTTGTCACTCAAAATACATCAATCAGATAACAACCTTGTACTGTTTTTCCGAGGTAGTCTCCCCTCCTCTCCTTGTTGATGACCGACTGGTAGATCTTCCCTGTGGTCAGGTTGTTGTCTCTGGTCAGTCGGATGTCCAGGAACCTTTCGTAATTCCCGAGATCCAAGTCCACCTCGCCTCCATCGTCAAGCACAAAAACCTCCCCTAAAAAAATAAATAAATAAATGTACAAAGTCAACTTTAGAAACACTTCCAGAGACTGGGGATGCATACAACATACCATGTTCATACGGTGAAAAGGTTCCAGCATCTATGTTGATGTAAGGGTCAATCTTTATAGCAGTGACATGGAGGCCGCACGACTTTAAAATAGTTCCCACGCTACTTGCGATAATGCCTTTTCCGATGCCAGAGATGACGCCGCCAGTGACCAGGATGTATTTCATTGTTCTTGTAGACTCTGGTATCTAAAGTCAAGAAAATACACACATTAAAAACAAAAAAATACAATGGAAAAAAAAAACTATGTAAGTAGAAAAAAACTCCTAAACAAAACTAGCTGCACAAGGAAACCTCAATTAAAAAGGTCTAAATGGCCAAAGTCAAAAGAACTTTTACATCTGTTGAAGGCCAATGAGTTTCCGGGAATCTTTAATGCTGCTCCTATGTTTTTGTCTCCTTCCCCAGATCTGTGCCTCCGCTATGATCCTGTCTCTTCAAACAGTTCCATAGAACTCACTTTCTTAGTTTCTTAGTTGGTGGAACCTAACATAGACAGGTTTTTCATTTTCCGAATCAAGTTAAACCAGTAACATTCACCAAAGTTGTCCTCCAGTAAAGTTGTAGAAACATCTCAACAACAATCATTAGAAACAGGTCACATCTGAACTCAATGAGATATTTTTTTTAAAATTCAAAGGACAAACACTCCATAAATCTTAGTTTTCACGCTGTGCTTATAGGGTAGTGCGAGTAGATAGACAGGAAAATAATACATATTAGAATTCACAGAGCACTGAATAGAAAAGAGTTTATACATTGGGTGTCTAATATTTTTCCAAAAAGGGTCAACTAATAACAGTATCAACAACATTAAATCAATTATAATTATTAGAATCAACCTTTTGATTGCCATAGTACGTAACAGGAAGTCACAAACAACCAATCTCAGGTTGGTTAAGTACTTTACAAACATCACATATGCCATACTCACACAAAAACACACTTTTAAATAATATATCTCTGGTCACTTATTGATAATCTGCAGTGTTAAATGTCTATTGCCTGTATTCAAGTAATAAATTTGTATTAAGATTTTGTATGCATGCCTTTTACATCTTAAAATAGGATAAAACTTTATTGATCACAGAGGAGAACTGTACAGGTTACATTTGGCATCAATAGGATCACAAGGGTGCGCAAAAAGACAGGAAAAGTGCTAAACAGGATGATGAAAGTAAATGCATTTTAAAGTGCATAGACTGTGTTTAGGTGGAGATTTTAAACCTTTTTCCGTATAAAACAAAAGCGAGATTTTATATTGTGCCATGTGCTCCTCATTCCTATTGTCTGTCCATTGTTATGCAACACTGAAATTTCCCCACTGTGGGACGAATAAAGGATCTCTTTTAATCCTAATCCTTTTATGTTTGCACACCGCTCGCCCGGACACCGCAGTGCACCAAAACGAGCTTACCCACAACATAAGCGCGCCATGAGATTCCAAGAGATGCTATGCTAGTTGCTGAGATGGTGTGAGAAGGTAAACAGTGCTGCCCAAACAAAAAATACATAAATAACACTATATTTACTGTACACTAGATGAAAAACTAGAAAAACACACAAAAAAATAACAGCAAACAAAGCGATTGTGTATACAGCACTACACAGCTGCTAAATCAAGCTAGCACCCACGACCACATTGTAGATGAACCGCTTTGGAAAGTAAAGTCACAAACTACATACTATGCATAACTTTACACACTGTTATGGCCATAATAAGATAACAAATAAACAGCTTTTCCCTCAGGCCATTCACGTGGAATAATCTGAAAATTGGAATATATACAAAGCAGAGATAAACTTTATACAATTACATCGAATCCAGCCATGCAGACAGGAAGCTGCAGTCACTTTGTTGTGGAACTTTGCTAACTAGCCAGAGACCACACAGTAATCAGCGCATCACGTTGACATGTTCCTTACCAGAGCATTCCTGTCCACACAAAACCGTCTGCAATGAAATAGATTGACCGCTGTCCTGAGGAATACCCGCCTTGGTGTAGCTGCCAGCTTCTCAGTCTGTGTTCTCTACAGCAAAGTCGTGAGGGGCTAGAACTAGAATGGGCTCCACACGTGTTATTACACAGGCAGTGACGACAACACTTGGGAGGGACTTTTATCATCACTACTAGATACGTACATACTACATACATACATACATACTACTACTGTTACAATTATACTATTGAAATAAAACCTGGCATATACAGGGTGTACCAAATTAATGAAGTGCAGGCTATCTATCAATATCCACAATAATGAATGCAGTGGGGACCCATCAATTCTAGGCCGTCTTAAATGAACAAATAAAGTTATTTATTTGAACATTTTGTTGGGTGAACTGATCAATATTATTTTTCTAATCGATTAATTTATTTCTGTTTTACAATTGACCAGCAGAGGGCACTGTCACATCACTGCACTTTGACACTTTGGCCACGCAGCGTATTGGCTTATGTTTATGCAGAGGAAGACCAGTCCTTCACAGAGAAATGAAAGATACGTGATTACTACCTTAAACAATTGTGGGATTTTTTTTTGCCCATGGTTCACCATTACAAAAAAGTAACCAACAATAAGAGCAAGATAAGCTCCCACAAGTAAAATGTAACTATTTTCTTCTCCTTTATCCAGGGCTGGGCTGTGGAAGCAGGAGTCTGAGCAGAGAGGCCCACACTTCCTGCATCTCATCTTGGAGAATCCTGAGGTCTTCCTTACCCAGCCGAGAGACTGAGTCTTCCCCAGGTTCTCCTCCTGTGTGGGACATGCATAGAACACTATGGTGCATCCGAAACAGACTTCAAGCTCCTCACATATGGCCGCACTCCCTGTTACTCTATGGGAGCGCCAAAGCCAACTCATTGTGATGGCTTGTATCTGTGATGATCTCATCATTTCTCTCATTATTCAAATCTCAGGATCACCTGTCGGAGAAATTCAGGTCCCACACAGGAGTATTGTAACTATTTGTCTGCAATAATGTTCACTAATATTTTTTATATAGTCATTGGAGATACAATACTGTATATCCAATACTGTAAATGTTGAGCCTTTTATATTAATGTAATAAAACACAGATTATTAGTGGCTTAATGGCCCTGCATAAGTGGGCAGTCTCTCCTTACACACTCAAAATAAATGAAATACTGTATGCTCGTCTAAACAATAACTAATCATCATGTCAAAGAAGAGTTTAAAAGTTTGCTCTATGCAGCAATGAGAAATTATGTGCCCTTGTGTATTTTTTTTATTCTACAGAACTTGTCTTTACTTCATCTGTACTGTTCCATCGCTTTCTTTGGCCAGTGAATTGTTAGTTTTATTGCGAGTCAAGTTAGAGCTTGGTAATTTTTTTACTAAACTTAATTTATCTTCAAAATGCTATAAAAAGCCCCGTATTCCTTTCTCTTTACAGACCTAATGGATGCCTGCTGAACGTGTTATGTGGTGGAGCCTTTATTAAGCTTTATTTGGACCCCTGGGGATGCACTTGAGGGAGTAGGGAGCTATTACGCTAAATCTGTCGTGAGATGACGGGCCTACACAATGTACCATTCAATCCCAACCCAATTCAGCAACTTCAGCAGGCACCACGCGAGCCCATCCAGGCCTTCAATTTAAATAAGCCAAGTGCCCATTAAACGCTTTAAAGATGTGTAGGATTTAGCTGGTGGTTTTAGATGGATGTGGGTAAACAGCCACTCAGAAGCAGGGATTAGGGATTCTATCAGAAAGGGCTGGACATTTCTATAAACTGTTATGGCTCTGCCCATTATGTGCAATATGTAATTAGTTGTGCTAAAATCAAATGGGTTGAATTATTTAGAGAGAAAGATTGTGCTTTTGATACTGCTGTATAGTTTGGACCTCATTAGTCAAGCATTTGTTCATGTGCAAAATTGACTAACAATATGTGAGAAAACTGATTTTTTTTTGCATATGCCCTGTAGAAATATAGCACTAATGTAACGAGGGGGGGGGCTATGGAGGTGTTTGGAAGCGGAATGAAATCTGACCGGAAAAATAACTATTGCAAAAAAGATTGAGTGACCGGGTGAGAGCACACGTGTCTACCAAGGAGGACAAAAAGGTCGTGGCAAGTTATTAAAATTTAATACAAGGAATAATTAAAACAGTAAAAAAAATGCCCACAAATAAAAACACTGTTAAAAGTCCATTAAAAACAAGGTGGGCTAAAAAAAGGTTAAAACTACTAAAAGGCACGGTCCACGGTCAGGTGCAGGCAGGTCCCACTCCCTCCTGGTCCAGGGCAGCACTCCAACCTGGGTCACACGCACCGGGCCACCTAGAATGCAAAACATACGCCAGTACGGGGGTCCGAAGCTATAAGGCCTATAGGCTACGATGGTGGAGTGTCGCTACAATACTTACACACAAGGCAGAGTTATCCTCTGCCCCTGCGTGTGTTCAGCGTCACAACACTCCTTCACTTAGTCTCGACTCCTCCCGTCTGGCTCTCGTCCTCCGCACGCTGAGACACCTACGCGGAAATCACTAGCGGCAGTCAAACGTTCTAAACAGTGATGTGCTCGATCTAACTTTATCCGACAAGTGTTACTATGCTCCCAAAAGGTACTTACACGGAAGGCAGAGTTCCCCTCTGCCTCTGCGTGTATATCGCCTCGCAACACTTGCGGTCTCAGCGTGCTGTAGTCCCGATGCGTGTGCCGTCCTGCTCGTCCTGCTTGTGGTGGGGTGCCGCGGCTTTCCTGCTCCTGCTCCTGCGTGCTTGTTGTCTCTCTGCCTCTCTCTGTGTGTCCCCTGTTGTGGCTCCTGCGCTCCTTTTATTTGCTCCAATTTCCACCAGACACAGGTGCTTTTGATTGTCCCGCAGCAGGGATTGGGGTAAAAGCCATGTGATAAAAACATGTGACTATAGCGAGTCCTTAAAACTATAAATAAGGTTAAAATGCACGGCAAGATAAATACACAAAACCACAGCACACGATAAAAACAAAAATAAATGCCAAGTCACTTGTTCTTATTCACATTCCCCCACATTCTAAGGTTGTCAGTCCCTGCAACATAAAAACAGTTCAGTCTCTGTACCGTGCCGGCGGTTGTCCAAGAGTAGAACGGTTTGACCTTCTAGGGGCCATGTCCATAACGTCCTGCTCAGCTGGTCTCAAAGGTAAAAAGCCATAAAACACGGGTAAAACAGGTCCTTGGTCCTGAGGCAGTTCTGCAGCTGCCTGTGGGAGTACAGCTGGAGGTAAGGTGCATAGTTTTAAAGAGTTTCTGTGCAAGGTTTGTTCACGGCCACCTCGCTCAGGGCGGACTCTGTACACCAGTCCTGTGCCTCCCATTTGCTCCACAACAATGTGAGGGTCTGGGGACCACCAAGGTGCCAGCTTACCTCTGCCTCGCCTATTTCTAAAGCGTACCAGTACCCTCTCACCAGGCAAGAAGGGCAAGGCTTTTGCTGACTTGTCGTACTGTTCCTTTTGCTGGGATGCTAAATTACCCGTTTTCTCTCGTGCAATGCGATAGGCTACAGACATTTTGTGTTGGTGGTCCTGGACCTACTCATTTACACTGTGACGGGGTTGTTGGGGGCTAACAGCTAGGTCTACATCAACAGGGAGACGCAAGTGACGACCGAACATTAAAAAGGACGGAGCATAACCAGTAGCGGAATGTACAGTATTATTATAAGCGTGCACAAGCTCTGGCAAGTACTGCGGCCAGCGATTCTGCTTCTCTTCCTCTAAAGTGCGCAACATTTTGAGCAAGGTCTGATTAAAACGTTCAGCGCTGCCATTGCCGGCCGGGTGATAAGGTGTAGTCCGACTCTTAGTAATACCATAAGTGTCGCAAAGTTCTTTCATTAAGGACGACTCAAAATTGGCTCCCTGGTCCGAATGGAAACGGGCCGGGCAGCCAAAATTCTGAATGATCTTGGACCAGATCGCGTCAACCGTGGTTTTAGCCGTTTGGTCGCGGGTAGGTATTGCCCACGCAAAATGTGTAAACTTATCCGTGGCAACCAGGATGTTTTGGTGAACATCATTGGGGCGACCTAGGGACAAATAGTCCAAGGCGATTACTTCGAGAGGGTAGGAAGCGGGAATAGGGTTAAGAGGGGCTTTAGGCTCAACCCTACTTTTTTGCAGGCTACAGGCAACACAACCCAGATGGAAACGACGCACCTCCCCCTCCATATTAGGCCAATAGAAGTGCTGTCGGAGGCTAGCGAGGGTTTTGTCGACACCAGCATGGGCACCAGCGTCGTGGACCTTTCTCCAGACTTCTTCGCGCCTGGAGCTCGGACAAACAGTCTGATAGTGCACTTCATAGGTCTTTTGATCGATTACCTTGCGGCACAATAGGTTACTCTTCACCTGAAGCTTTTTCCATTGCTGCAACAGCCGCTGTGCGTCGCTGGACAGGGCCTGGCGTTCTTGCTTTCCTGGCATTTTCTTCTTCTCCACGTAACTCTTTACACGCTGAATGTCGGCATCTGCTGCCTGGGCCTCTTCCCATTCACCTCCCTCTGGGACCAGCTCCACAGCTGTAGCAAACGTAGCAGGCTCCGGGTCTGGGTTACTTGAATGGGCTGTAGGGATTGGAAATCTGGAGAGGACGTCAGCGTTTACATTACTTTTACCGGACCGGTACTTGATGTTGTAATTGAAGGAGGCTAGTTGGGCGACCCAGCGTTGTTCACATGCGCCAAGCCGTGCGGTCTGTAGGTGAGCTAGAGGGTTATTGTCAGTAAACACAGTGAATTGCGCTCCTGTCAAATAGTCCTTGAACTTTTCCGTTATAGCCCACTTAAGTGCCAACAGTTCCAACTTGAACGAGCTGTAATTAGCATCGTTGCGCTCAGTGGGGTGCAGGCTCCTGCTTGCGTAAGCGATTACACGCTCCCGCCCTTCTTGCACCTGGGCAAGCACAGCTCCAAGTCCATCATGACTAGCATCAGTGTATACCACAAATGGCTGGTCAAAATTAGCATAAGCCAAAATAGGGGCCTTAGTCAATTCAGTCTTTAAGGTGTCAAAGGAAGCTTGGCATTCAGAGGTCCATTGCACTTTGTGCGCTTGAGACCTTTTGTCCGCAGGAACGCCAGCCAACAGGGAATTCAGGGGGCGTGCGATTTTAGCAAACCCAGACACAAACCTCCTGTAATAGCCTGCTAGTCCCAAAAATGCTCTTACTTGCTTGATCGTGGTTGGTACAGGCCAGTCTAGGACAGAGTTAACTTTTTCAGGGTCAGGTCTTACACCACGACGATCAACTACATGTCCCAGAAACTTGACCTCAGACTGCAGCAGCTTACATTTATCAGAACGGAGCTTTAATCCATGTCGCCACAACCGGTTGAAGACCTCATCTAGGTGCTGTAGGTGAGAGGAAAAGTCAGGTGAATAGATGATTATGTCATCCAAATAGACGAGCAAAGACTCCGCAATTTGACCACTTAGACACTGTTGCATAAGTCTTTGGAACGTTGCGGGAGCGTTACAAAGGCCAAACGGCATGCGCTCAAATTCAAACAGCCCTAGTGGAGTAGTAAAAGCAGTCTTTTCTTGATCCTGTGGGTGCATCTCAACCTGCCAGTAGCCACTGGCGAGGTCAAGGGTGGTAAACCACTCTGCTCGGCTCAAACTGGTCAGAGTCTCTTCTATCCTTGGCAGTGGGAATGCGTCCTTGTGTGTTACTGCATTTAGCTTTCTGTAGTCAACACAAAACCGTAAACTCCCATCTTTCTTCCGCACCAAAACTATGGGTGCTGCCCAAGGGCTACAGCTCTCTTTGATGACTCCCTTCTCCAACATACCTGCTAACAGGGACTTCACCTCTTTGTAGAGCGAGGGTGGAAGCGGTCTGTACCTTTCTCTGGTAGGCGCAGAATCACCCGTGTGGATGCGATGTTGTACTGCGTTGGTCCGGCCGAAGTCCTCATCGTGCTTTGCGAAGACCTTCTCCCATTTTTGCAAAAGCGCACCAAGCTCTTCCTGCTGCTGCTCAGACAAGTCAGTTCGGTTAGATAGGTTTCTCACCTCCTCGGGGAGGCCATGTTGTCCAGGGTCAGGTGTGGTGTGGACCAGGGCCACTTCAACCACCCCATCTTCCTCCAGAGACAGGCTCACATCGTCAGGGCCGTGCACATCAGCAGAATCAATTTGGTAAAGGCGTCCAAGTTTCTGATAGCGGCCTATTGTCCAGCTGTAAGGATGTGGGTTACAGACACGTATTGGGATTCTGCCGTTTCTTACCACTCCGATGGTTCGGGCCACACCCACTTCGCCAGCATTTGGCAGTGCCTCGACCAGGGCACAGTAGTCTGCGCCGTCAGGGCCCATCCGGGTTTTACCCCACACAAGCAGCTCGCTGTTAGGAGGGACAGTGAAGGCCCGCCCACCAGACAGCCGCACGTGCCCTAGGAACCCATCCTCAGCGACAGTAGCTTCAACGCGGCGACAGGTGGCGAAGGCATCTCGCCAGGGCTTCCCAAGTTTCTGTGGGAGGAAGGGCAGACTTTCCGGGCCATTTAAAGAATGCATCCCAACAAGCCATCACAACATTCATTCCAACAATAAGGGGATGCGTACAATCCTCATCTCTTACAATCACTACTCCACGTCCAGGAATCTGTGTCCCTTCGACTGCCAAGTCAAGCACGGCATACCCAATATACGGGATCTCCAGACCATTAGCTGCTCTCAATTTAAACAGTACAGGTGTCCTTCCAAGCTTAGCCTGGGTAAAATGTTCATTGAACACACTCTCGGCCATTAAAGTTACTTGTGACCCTGTATCTAGCAGCCCTTCCAATTCAACTCCTTCAGCAGTGATTTTTATTGTTGGACATTGGCCTATGAATGTCTCTGTGGCCCTCATCTGTGCTGTTGGACCAGCCACCCCTGCCGAACGGACCTCAGTGGCAGGGACAGCTAGTTTAAAGCTGGCCCTGAGGCAGATGTCGTCCGACAGTATCTGGCTATATGTCCAGCTTTATTGCACAGTCGACAAATGGGCCTACCTCGTTCATCCCGTTGGTTGCGTGGGGGTGATCGGTAGTAGCTCCGGGGTGTTACTGGCGGCTCTGCGGCGGTTGCAACCGGTGACAAGTGAGGTTTGAGCTCCCTTATTAGTTCCTGTGCCAATCCCTTCATCTCAGCCTTCACTTCCTCCATTATGTCACGCTTGAGGGTCTCCTTCCAGTCCGAATATGGTTCCTTTGAAAAACTAGACTTATTATTGACAATGGAGCACGTTACCTCTGATGCAGAGCTGCCATATTCAGAGTCCAACAACAGCGCCTCCTCTCGCAGCGCTGCAAAATCTGCATCTGGGTGCCGACGAGCATACACTTTTAGCGCCTGTGCCATTGGTCCTTCACGCAGTCCTAGAAGCAGCTGATCTCTCAGGGCTGCCTCGGAGGGGGGGTCGTCGTGCCGCCGTAGCCTGCAATACAACTCACGGAGACGTAAAACAAAAGACTGGACCGTTTCACCCGTTTTTTGAGCACAACAAAAAAATTGTGACCTAACAACAGATGTCGGGGTTTGGTCACCATAGAGGGAGCCAAGATACGCAACATTTTTTCGAGCTGTGTCTTTTTCGTCATCCTCTAGGACACTGACTTGACGCTTGGCTTCACCGGCTAATGCTCCCAACACAAAGCAACCTTCCTAGGCTCAGTTAGCTCTTGAGACCCCAACAACCCTTCCATTTGTTCTTTCCAATCACAGAGTTTTAAGTCATCCCCTGGCCCTTTAAACTTAGGGAGCCAGGGGGCACCAGGATATACTGGCATCATCATGGCTCCTTTCTCCCTGGCAAACAAGTGTGCTCGAGACCCAGATCCTGCCAGCAACGCCAAATTATGTAACGAGGGGGGGGGCTATGGAGGTGTTTGGAAGCGGAATGAAATTTGACCGGAAAAATAACTATTGCAAAAAAAGATTGAGTGACCGGGTGAGAGCACACTTGTCTACCAAGGAGGACAAAAAGGTCGTGGCAAGTTATTAAAATTTAATACAAGGAATAATTAAAACAGTAAAAAAAATTCCCACAAATAAAAACACTGTTAAAAGTCCATTAAAAACAAGGTGGGCTAAAAAAAGGTTAAAACTACTAAAAGGCACGGTCCACGGTCAGGTGCAGGCAGGTCCCACTCCCTCCTGGTCCAGGGCAGCACTCCAACCTGGGTCACACGCACCGGGCCACCTAGAATGCAAAACATACGCCAGTACGGGGGTCCGAAGCTATAAGGCCTTAGGCTACGATGGTGGAGTGTCGCTACAATACTTACACACAAGGCAGAGTTATCCTCTGCCCCTGCGTGTGTTCAGCGTCACAACACTCCTTCACTTAGTCTCGACTCCTCCCTTCTGGCTCTCGTCCTCCGCACGCTGAGACACCTACGCGGAAATCACTAGCGGCAGTCAAACGTTCTAAACAGTGATGTGCTCGATCTAACTTTATCCGACAAGTGTTACTATGCCCCCAAAAGGTACTTACACGGAAGGCAGAGTTCCCCTCTGCCTCTGCGTGTATATCGCCTCGCAACACTTGCGGTCTCAGCGTGCTGTAGTCCCGATGCGTGTGCCGTCCTGCTCGTCCTGCTTGTGGTGGGGTGCCGCGGCTTTCCTGCTCCTGCTCCTGCGTGCTTGTTGTCTCTCTGCCTCTCTCTGTGTGTCCCCTGTCGTGGCTCCTGCGCTCCTTTTATTTGCTCCAATTTCCACCAGACACAGGTGCTTTTGATTGTCCCGCAGCAGGGATTGGGGTAAAAGCCATGTGATAAAAACATGTGACTATAGCGAGTCCTTAAAACTATAAATAAGGTTAAAATGCACGGCAAGATAAATACACAAAACCACAGCACACGATAAAAACAAAAATAAATGCCAAGTCACTTGTTCTTATTCACACTAAAATTGCACATTCTATTTTACATCCATTTTCTTCCCCTTAATCCATTTCTGGGTCAGGGGGGTGGCAGTCAGAGCTGCACCCAGTTCAAAGAGCACCAGCCCCTCACTAATCCTCCTGCAGGTGGTGAGTCCACTGGAGCTGAGATCTTTCAACGGGGGCTTAAGGCAAAGTGAGGTTAAGTGTCTTGCCCAAGGACAGCAGTCATCAGTGGAAGCCGCGAAGTGGGTCTCGTGGTGGGCTCGAACCCATGACCTTCAGGCTCAAAGGCCAATGCTCTACCAACTGAGCCACTGTCACACCCGTTGAAATATTCAGTGTGGATCTTATACAGTGGGGCAAAAAAGTATTTAGTCAGCCACCTGCTTCTCGAGAGCAGTGAACACAGACTTTCAACTCCCTCCACAGATTTTCAATGGGGTTGAGGTCTGGAGACTGGCTAGGCCACTCCAGGACTTTCAAATGCTTCTTACGGAGCCACTTCTTCGTTGCCCGGGCGGTGTTTTTGGGATCATTGTCATGCTGGAAGACCCAGCCACGTTTCATCTTCAACGCTCTCACTGATGGAAGGAGGTTTTGGCTCAAAATCTCACGATGCTTGGCCCCATTCATTTTTCCTTAACACAGATCAGTCGTCCTGTCCCCTTAGCAGAAAAGCAGCCCCAAAGTATGACGTTTCCACCCCCTTGCTTCACAGTAGGTATGGTGTTCTTGGGATGCAACTCAGTATTCTTCTTCCTCCAAACACAACGAGTTGAGTTTATACCAAACAGTTCTACTTTGGTTTCATCTGACCACATGACATTCTCCCAATCCTCTGCTGTATCAGCCATGTGCTCTCTGGCAAACTTCAGACGGGCCTGGACATGCACTGGCTTCAGCAGGGGGACACGTCTGGCACTGCAGGATTTGATTCCCTGTCGTCGTAGTGTGTTACTGATGGTAACCTTTGTTACTTTGGTCCCAGCTCTCTGCAGGTCATTCACCAGGTCCCCCCGTGTGGTTCTGGGATTTTTGATCACCGTTCTCATGATCATTTTGACCCCACGGGATGAGATCTTGCGATCGAGGGAGATTATCAGTGGTCTTGTATGTCTTCCATTTTCTGATAATTGCTCCCACAGTTGATTTGTTCACACCAAGCTGCTTGCCTATTGTAGATTCACTCTTTCCAGTCTGGTGCAGGTCTACAATTATTTTCCTTTGGTCTTGGCCATAGTGGAGTTTGGAGTCTGACTGTTTAAGGCTGTGGACAGGTATCTTTTATACAGCTAACGAGTTCAAACAAGTGCCATTAATACAGGTAACGAGTGGAGGACAGAAGAGCTTGTTAAAGAAGAAGTTACAGGTCTGTGAGAGCCAGAGATCTTCCTTGTTTGAAGTGACCAAATACTTATTTTCCACCATAATTTACAAATAAATTCTTTGAAAATCCTACAATGTGAATTCCTGGATTTTTGAAGTGTACCTATGATGAAAATTTCAGACCTCTGTCATTATTTTAAGTGGGAGAACTTGCACAATCTGTGGCTGACTAAATACTTTTTTGCCCCACTGTAAGTATTCTTAGATAAGAAAATAATTTAAGAAAAGTCCCAAGTGTGTCGGCCCCCTCGTCTCTGTTGACGGTCCGTTACCCCGCTTCCTGATTTTGATCGCCTCTTGTATCCAACCAGATGGATGTCAGCTAATTAAATAGCTTCTTTACACTCTGTGTTTTATTAAAATAATCATATACGTTTTAGATATAAAGAAAACCTAATTAATTTTTTACATTTTTACTATTTCTATACTACTTTGGACCAATATTCTGGCACATCATCATGAACATGTGTGGTATGATTCAATATTCAATACCAGAGAACATAGCACTGCATGTATTCTTAAAAAGCTCTTAAATTACCTTTCACTGTTCCAAGATATGAAAAAAAATGTGTCTTGAAAACAGTTGACACAAGCACAATTAACAATATATATTTATTTCAAACATTGTTGCATGTTGGCCGTTATTGCTGTAGGGAGGAATAACTTGTATACTGTGTGTTCCGGCGGCCAGTTGGGATTTGTGGGGGAGCAGAGGGAAGATCTGGGGCAGTGGATGGATGGGCCTGAACAGTTCTGACTGGGGTCTGTGGTGCCTCAGTGATTTTTCTGGTCTAATTTATCATGTGAGATTTTATGGTTTATTTTATGTATCTTTATTTATACAGGGAAGGATCTTTTTCATGGGTGCCTTGTTTCATCATAAAAATCACAGTGTACAATGATAATACAATAGTCTAAAACTAAATGATTAAGATGAGTGTCAACTCTATGGGAAAGAATCCATTTATAATAGAAACGCTGAAACAGAACTTGTGTTTAGATTTACAAACCTGCCATATTATTCTTATGTCCTTTCTACTCCCCAACATCATGCAAATGTATGTTTATTTTCACCAGTTCCAGTCAAGAATGTCAGACATGTGTTGACAAGGAAGATGTTGAAATTTGTGTCAGTTTTTCTTTCATCTTTATTGGCCTAGCCATTCCAGGGAAATTAGATTTATGGACGTGGATAAGGAGGAAAGACATTTTCAGATGCCCTCCACCCATAGACTGTATATTAGGAGTGGACTGACCGAGTGCTGACGTCACCACAGTGGAATGCAGAAGATGCCGACTTGAACATAATCTAGCTGGAGCATTTTTCCTCATATGGGCATTTGCACACTAACATGGGCAGATTGTTGCTAAAGCAAATTGGAGTTTGCCCCGTGAATGAGCGCATTATTTATCTACACAGAAGGGAGATTAAAGGAAAATTAAACTAATGAAAGCTACACAATAACATAACAAAAAAAGAGAGATGTTTTAAACTATCTAGCTTGTACATTCGAGCATAGTAAAATCAATTCTCTGTCTTCCCCAGGTCACAGAGGCCAGATGTGAGCGTTCTCCAATCACAGAGCAAAGGGCCGCTGATTATAGGGCAATCATTGGACTGGTGCGGATGACATCAGCAGCAGAATTTGGGTGACTTTATTTGGAATTGCAGGGTGGCAGTGAGAAAGGCCTGACCCGGAGCACAATGACAGACTCTAAATGTCTTTGAATGAAAGTAGACGCAAAAATCTTGGAGTGAGAGTGCTTTGTCATTCAAACCAGGACACTAAACAGAAGCCCAAAAGGAATATTGCAGGAGAAAACCGATCGGAGATTTTGCAGCCTGTGCTTTATTAAGTTATTTGATCTGCAGCTGAAATAGTCGTTTTGAAATGTAGCAGTTCTCGACTCGAACGGTGTCTGGACCCACCATCTAGATATAACGCTAAGCCGCGGTCCAAATAAGTATACAATTTTGAATATGAATAATGTAAAAGACTGTATAAATTATGGTTTATGAAGTGGAGGCTCAATAATTTAACTGGCCCACTAAGGGATATACACTGGTTGAGGCGGCAACAGTATGGAA